TCTTTGGGTTGCCTTGGGTAAGATAAAGTGACTATCAAATTTAAATATATTTATAACCGTGCATTATCCCAAATAACAGTGTATTACCCCCAAAACCATTACAGTCGTACCTTGGTTCTCAAATGGACTCCGTTCTGGAAGTCCATTCAACTTCCAAAATTGTTTGAAAACCAAGGCGAGACTTCTGATTGGCTGAAGGAGCTTCCTGCACTCAATCAGAAGCTGCAGAAGCTGCGTCGGACGTTCGGCTTCCAAAAAATGTTCAGAAACCGGAACACTCACTTACATGTTTGCAGCATTCGGGAGCCAAAATGTTCGAGTCACAATTAGAGAACCAAGGCATGACTGTACTGTCATATTAAGTAACCCTATCAAAAAGCTCTTATATGATCATGGACATTCTCCTAAATATTTTCCTAGTCCCAACTATTCTACTAACTTTCAAGCAGATACATGGAATGTTATAAATTGGCTGTCGCTTACAAGTCTGATTTCCAAGGTAAAATCCTACTAGGGTCATACTTTTGTCAGGGCAGAGGATATTCATAGAATCATAGAATTGTAGAGTTAGAAGGGACCGCAAGGGTCATCTAGTCCAGTGCAGGAATCTCAACTAAAGCATCCATGACTGATGGCCACCCAACATCTGCTTTAAAATCTCCAATGGAGAAGAGTCCACATTCTCATTAAGCTTCAAAGGCCTGACATTGGGTATATTCAATATTAATTGCAAAAAAGCTTTGTTTTTGTTTTTTGTGATTATCTATTTACATAACTCTTTGCTCTCTTTCACTATATCTTCTCTCTAACCCATCATACCTTTGGGATGAAGAAGCCTTCCACCTCTGTATCACGGTATGCTCTATGGAGTATGCCAGCAGGAACAATATCCCCAAAACGTTGAGTTTCATGGATCACAGCACGAGTGTAAGGCATATTTGCCTGGTCCTCTAATGTGACAGATCTGTTCCTACCAATCACTGCATCAATTTCTTCTTGGACTTTACCTGGAAAATAAGAGAAGGATGTAACTTACAATGTGCTGCAACTGACAATGGAAAAACAGGGAGATCTAAACGTTCTTTACACCAAGAAGAATGCATGAGTTGTCTCACTGCAGATTTTTCAACACTGTTTTTCCAGGGATGGAGGGAACATCTAGATCAGCTCCAACACAGTTCTAGAATTGGACTCTACATTGTACTGTACAGTGTGCGTTCTTTTATTTATATATCAATTCATGTTTATGTATGTGTGTTTATTTGGAAATATATTTTATTTGTGAACATTTATCATCCAACCTTTGCCAATTAGAACAAAAGAATTGCAATAATAATGGAGGTATAACATTACAAAAATCAATAATTTTAAGATGACCCCCATACAAAATTAATAACGCAGGTATTAGCCTATACCGTTCTTTGTGTCATGTGAAATTTATGTTCACTTTAAATTGTAGAGTCCAGTGAAAGCTAGAGAGATTTGACAGAAGATGGCTTTTGCCCCACACTTTGAAGGCACAGGTCTGCAATTTAAAACACAGTTTCTGAGTGCTTTGTCCCGTCCCCCGTCCCCTGTCCCCCGGCCCCCCCCCCGCTGCTCTCCCTGCAAAAACTCACTTTTTAAATGCTGAATCAAAACAAATGAAAAATTGAGTTTTCTGGTGATTTCTGTTTGCACTGATTCAATGGGGAAAGTGCTGAGGCAAGAAAAGCATGTGGACACAAGGCACAAACCTGTGCCTAGAAACACAGCACAAAAGGAAGTCTGGGTGAGGTTTATAATACTGCAATATATTCAGTCTCACCAATACTAATCTGATTTCCTCTCTGCTGTTTGAATAGATTCTACTTCCTCCTTTGATGCTTTTCTTTTTTTTTCTACTGGTTTATATTGCTATTGTACTTACTGTACTTATTATATTGTTATTGTACTTATCTGTAGTTATAATTGCCTTTTAGACCGTTTTATGGTCCAAAGATGGGATATATTCTCCCTCAGCGCCAGAAAACTTTCGCGAAAAGGAAGGATTTACAGTACCTTCTAAAAGCTCACCTTGTCATGCTCTGGTAGGCTTCCTAAGGGAGAGGATTCTATAGAAATAAGGCGATTATAGAGAAAACTCTACTCTGTGCCTTGATCCATCTGACTCAGCAGGTAGAAGCAGGGCTTCCTCCCAAGACCTTCATGCACAGAGAGGTGGTCCCTAAAACAATACTCAGCAGTGGCTCTTACTCTGGATGTCAGGATAGAGGATCATGTAGAGCAGGCCCCAGCGCAAGGTAGTGGTGGTGGTCTCTGTGCCAGCAGAAAAGAGGTCACCAATCATCAGAGGGAGGTTTTGGTAATTGAAACTACTGTTTTCGCCCTTTCTCTGAGGAGACAGTATACAGGCAGAATGTAAGAGACGCTTGCCAGGAATTTCCTGAGGCCTGAAGTACACATTAAACCTTCCATAGAGTTGCTGCCAAAAACGCTACTACTAGTTCTCTCCCTCTCCTCTGACGCATGTAGGAACACTGCTCATAATGTGGCAGCATCATTTTATACATTTCTCACTCCTACCTAGCCAAATGGTGTGGAGTGTGTAGCAGCGGGTAGGGACTTACAGCACAAAGATTACAGGGGAGACGGAGAAGGCTCTGCACAGGGAGGAGCTGTTTTAAGGAACAGCTGGAGAATTCCACGCAATAGTGCTGCGATATACATGAGTGAGTTTCCCAATGCGACACAGCCATTGCTGATCATGCCAGCAGAGCATCCATGCTACAGGTCTGTCCACAAATGTAACATGGCAATATCCAGCTTAATCCTATGGCTTGGCATATTCTAATACAAGACAAACCCACAGGTTGCATTTCATCTCCAATATGTCTAAGTCAAACTCTGGAATATCTAGATCACCTACTGAGATGGAAACCTGGAAAGATGGAAGCCTTGTAGCTGAGCAGTTCCCAAGGCTGAGAGATATGTCAATTGGCATATCTATATGTCAATTGCATGGTGTTTCATTTATATGTCAACTGCATGGGGCTTCATTCAGGAAGTAAACAGCCTGGGGAGATTCCTGGATCCACGGTTGTTGCTGGAGTCACACATGGCCTCAGTAGCTTGGAGCAACCTTTACCTGCTTCAGGTGCTATGTCAGCTGTAACTATTCCTGGGCAGAGATAGCTTGGCCATGGGGGCCCAGGTACTAGTAGCTTCTAGACTGGATTACTGCAGTGCACTTTATGAAAGGCAGCACATAAGGGGGATCCCAAAACTTCATCTGCTGCCAGGGATTCTTTAGCTGTGATTCCTGCATTGCAGGGGATTGGACCAGATGATCTTTGGGGCCCCTTCAAATTCAACAGCTCTATTCAACAGCAGTCATGAAATTAAAAGACGCCTGCTCCTTGGGAGAAAGGCGATGGCAAACCTAGACAGCATCTTAAAAAGCAGAGACATCACCTTGCCAACAAAGGTCCGTATAGTTAAAGCCATGGTTTTCCCAGTAGTGATGTATGGAAGTGAGAGCTGGACCATAAAGAAGGCTGATCGCCGAAGAATTGATGCTTTTGAATTATGGTGCTGGAGGAGACTCTTAAGAGTCCCATGGACTGCAAGAAGATCAAACGTATCCATTCTTAAGGAAATCAGCCCTGAGTGCTCACTGGAAGGACAGATCGTGAAGTTGAGGCTCCAATACTTTGGCCACCTCATGAGAAGAGAAGACTCCCTGGGAAAGACCCTGATGTTGGGAAAGATGGAGGGCACAAGGAGAAGGGGACGACAGAAGATGAGATGGTTGGACAGTGTTCTCGAAGCTACCAGCATGAGTCTGACCAAACTGCGGGAGGCAGTGGAAGACAGGAGTGCCTGGCGTGCTCTGGTCCATGGGGTCACGAAGAGTTGGACACGACTAAACAACTAAACAACAAATTATTATTATTTCCTTTAGAAAATAAAGATTTTTTTTTTTAAAAAAAAACCCACCCAATTCTATGAATGCTGCAGCTAGATTGCTAAGTGGTGCAACCTACCATAAGCATATAAACATGCTTGTTAAAACAATGGTACTATCTGCCTTGGCTGCCTGCCTGCTACTGGGTCACGTTGAAGGTTCTGTTATTGGTAAATAAAGCCATAAACACATTGATATCTGATTACTTGAGAGATCGCCTTTGACCTTATCGACCTGCTCAGTCACTGAGGTCATCTGAAGAGGCCTTCCTGGTGGTGCCACATGCCTCTGAGGTCTACTCCACCATCGCTAGGAGCAGGGCATCTAGCATGGTGGCACTCACTTCCTCCTTATGCTAGATGTCTACCAATGAATTGCAAATTTTGCATAAATTGTTTACAATTCTTCCCAGAATGGCAATCTCAGCCATGAACGGGTTTTTTTTGTCAAAGCAGTTTTTGAAATGGTATTATGTTTTGTTTTATTGGGTTATATATTCTGTACACCTCTTTGATTTCCCCCCCTAAAAATGTAGTAAATGAAATGCACCTCACCTTCTCAACTTCTTCCAAAAATGCCTCAGTGATGTCTCGCTTGGAGGAGGGATCCCAAGTTTCTTTGTGTTCATTCACAAGCTCACCTAAATAGTCCATTAATTTCTTTTGATGACAAAAGGCTTTCTGCATCAATCCAGGGATGTGTGTCAAAAAGGGCAGTGAATTAAGAGCCTGATGCCAAAATAATAATAATAATAATAATAATAATAATAATAATAATAGTAAATACTAATCAGACCCAGGATCTAACAGTCACATAAGCATGATGACCCTGCCCCCAAAACAACTTATCTTACCTGTGGCAGAAGTCCAGCTTCTTCCTTCATGGACAGTTCAAGGTAATGAAGTAAACTCTGGAATTTCTTATCCTCGTAGTCAAAACGATTGCCAAAAGTGAGGAAGCAGATCACATTGCTAATTGCATTGTTTATGAGATAGTGAGGATCAAATGATTGACCTGAAAAGGACAGAATAGCCCAAAAATGATATTAGGACACATCCAACTGGTATAGCTCAGTTGGTAGAGCATGAGACTCTCAATCATAGGGTTGCTGGTTCGAGCCCCATGTTGGGCAAAATATTCGTACCTTGCAGTGGGTTGGACTAGATGACCCTTACGGTCCCTTCCAATGACAAATTCAATAATTCTATCCTCTACAACCCATACTCATCAATTCTTTTAGCATGTATTGAACAATCCCTCCTAAATCCACAGAAATTCCTAAGAGAGAAGTCATCCAAAAGCCTATCTACCATACATAGTCTTAATATTTTTCTCTCAGAGGGGCGTAACTGGGGGGGGGGCAGTAGGGGCAGCTGTCCCCCCCCCAAATCAATACAAACCAATACAAATCTGAGGTTCTGCCCCCTCCTAACAAAAATCATGGCTACGCCCATGCTCAGACTCCTCACAGTTTGATCAGTTTCATAAATAAGCACCCTATTGCCCCAAATATAAGCCACACCCAAATATAAGCCGCACTTTTAAAATTGAAGGGGGGAAACACCCAAATATAAGCCCCTTCCTCGCTGCTCCTGACTGCATACTGGGGGGGGGGAGGGGAGCTGCGATGAGTTGCCGGCGGCCTTTCCCCTTCTTTCCTCTCTCCCTTCCTGGCCTTGAGGGAGAGGACGGGGGACTACGCACGGGGTGGGTGCCGCTTTGCCCCGCTCCTGGCGCTGTTTGGCCCACACTCCTGGCTGCATACCGTAAGGTTGCAGATATAAGCAGCACTTTAAATTTTCACGGTTGGAGGGGGGGGGAGTGCAGCTTATATTCGGGCCAATATGGTAAGTTTAAAAATGCAAGTTCTGAGGAGGCTGAGCTGATGACTGAACAAAGGTCCCGAGTGTCTCTAAAAAGCAGCTGAGGCATTGTGTAAGTAGAAAAATTCACTTATTACAGCCTAAATTATTGCTGGTCATCAACTACTTGAACTGCCATTTATTAACAGCCATTCTGCTAGGCTTCACTCAGGGGGTGGGACAGAAGGGCTGCTCCATTGGTTGGCTGAGAAACCTGCTACTATTTGTTTCCCCTGCTTTTTCATCAAGTGGTTTAACTTTAAGAATTGGTGTTAAGTTGTGGGTGAACATATCAGAAGACACAGCGATTTCTCCAAAGCAGCTCTTTATTTGTAAGCTGGAACAGAACTGAACTGAAGGGCTCAGTCAGCCTGCTTATATAGAGCACCAGAACCTCGTTACTGTAACAACTTTCTAAAATATCCAATCACTGAATGTCACTTTCGATCCTTCATTTGCATAACTATCTACAGTATCCATCCAATCACTGAACGTCACTTTCGATCCTTCATTTGCATAACTATCTACAGTATCCCCCGCTGGCCCAAGGTGAGAACTTCAGTACATAACACCTGGTGTCTGAGTTTGCATGTTTTTTTCTTTCCTCAAGATCCCCTTTTCCACTTGGGCTCTGTCTATCAGATTATAAGCCTGCAGACAGTTGCTGTCTTGTTTCCTTATCTTTGAACATTCTAATTTTCTAAACTTTTGTAATGCCTAGAAAATGTTAGCTGCTTTTTAAATGATAAATAATAAAAATAGGTCAGTGGTTGCTGCTTTTCGGGTGGTAAAGCAGATGCAGAAATGTCAACTGAACTTAAGATTCGAAGAGAAGAATGAGAAACAGAGAGAAACTGATATTGACAGATTCACCCACCCTCAGTCTTAATCGGCCTGATTCTTAATCTGAACACTTGCCGTGGGTGCCTACTATATCCCTATGGCGGTAGATAATTAATTTATTTATGAAAAGTCAACCAATTGCACAAATTTTCTTTCTGGAAAGAAAATCTTATAGAAGTAAGAGAAACACACACCACTGCCCTACACTCAGATGTACAGTATTATTCTTTCTTAAAGTATATTACTTGGGTCATCAGAAGAAGCAAGACTTTGTCAGTATGCCAGAACTGGAGGAAGGACTGATCCTGATCCCAGGAAGATGCAAATGCTCCGAAGACTCAATGAAAGTAGTGAGGGAGGAAATATTCACGGTATAGGAAAAGCCCCACCCATTTTTATGATGGAGATAACCATCTGCCTACATCTTCCACTTGCTTTTTAAAGGTATCGCCCTTCGCCCTTCCCAGTTTTCCTAGTTTTAACACACCTTCCTTAGAACTAAACACTGAGCACAAATATCCAGCTTCCTCAACCACCAGCTGCTCCAGAGATTTCTTTCCCATTCCAAAGTCTCTCAGTATGGAGAGGGTAAATCTCCTCTGATCCTTCCAGGCTTGGCTGTACTGTGCCATCACCAGTCCTGAAAAAAAGTGAAGAGGGGGGAAAAAGTGTGTTTTGCTTGTACATTATATTTTAAAGACCTTTCTGGATAACCCTTGGTCACCAACAAATTTCATGGCAGGGCCACCGTGAGAAATGGAAGACACATGGACTGCCAGCTCCCTGACACCACAAAACAGCTCCTACGATCTATTCTCTTGCCTCTTCATTAGCAGCTGTGAGAACCTTGGCTTTGCGGCCTTCAGCTGCTAAGCCCTGTTTTTTATTCCCCATCTTATGTACAGTTAAAACCACCAATAAGAAGCTGGATTTGGAGTCCATCTTCAGCCTAATAAGCCATATTGCTTCTGATGGGGCTAACCAAACAGCAAGGCCTCAGCTTGAACTGCTTATTAATATAAAATATATGAATGGTGTATAATAATAGTATACCACCCTTCATCATAATATCTCAGGGCAGTTCACAGAATACATAATAAAAACAAGTAAATAATTAAAAGAAAACAGCAAAACAATAACCCTCACTTCTTGCAATCACATTTAAAAGGCTGTAGAATATTAATCAGCCCAAGGCCTGGTTGAAAAGGAACGTTTTCACCTGATGTCTAAAAATATATATTGAAGGTGTCAAATGCACCTCCCTGAAGAGAGGATTTCACAAATGGGGAGCCACTACAGAGAAGGCCTGTTCCCCTGTTGCCACCCTCCAGATCTCACGTGGAGGAGGCACATGAAGAAGGGCCTCAGATTATGAACACAAAGTTCGGGACGGTTCTTGAGGTACATAGATATAAACAAATACTTTATCCCATAATATTGGCATTGATAAGATAAATTACCACAAGAAGGAACCTAAGGAGCTCTGATATCTGCTTATACCAGTTATGCCATAGTTTTTTGGCAAATAACACTTTGACCTGAACTATATGAATATATACTGAAGCCATGACCTCATTTTTTCCTTTTCAATATCTTTTTTAATTTCAAAATTATGTGCGTTATGTGTACAAGCATTTCAGCAGATCACAATAACAATATTTTTAAATGATTTTATTTAAAATTATAAAAATATACAGGTGTGTTGTACAAGTACCTAAAGGGACTATAAAGTATATAAAAAAATTATCATTAAATACACAATTTAACTACACAGGGCCCCTTCCCCGCAAGCATGTGGGGCCATTCTGACTGGCTTTGGCAAAGGGCGGATCAGGAAGGAGAGAGTTAGAAGCACAGAGAACTCCCTCCCTCTGAAGCCCAAATCAGTATAAACTGATTGCCAGTTTCACTGAGAAGTAGGGAATTGGAAGAGTTGCTCCAACACGGATGGTTTTGTCATACAGGGCAGATGTATATAAGAAGTCCCTGCTTGGAACGGATCTGTAATCTATTATAGAGATGTGTGTTCTGGCATGGATAGGTCTCCTGTGGAACCTGGGCGTAGCAAGAAGGTGGAGAAAACTTCTCCTGAACAACTGCTGATTGGGGAGCTTCAAGGATCCTGTATCTCTGTCCTCACAGTTTTTAGGTCTCTTCTAATAGGAGTCCGGGGTCATGAAAGCCCCTTTCAAAAGCTTGATTTATGCACTGAAGTGGGCATAAGTAGATTCTGAACAGGTCTCTAGGGAAAATGCTGAATACCCCACAGCCTCCAAGTGCAACTTTGCATTAAGGGAACGGGACTTGGTGTCACATTTGCAATGCTAGCGTGACAAGCGGTGGCTGGGGACTCCCAACCCCTTTCATCTTCTCCAGGAACTTGGGGCTCCAGACATACCTTGATTGAGTTCTCCGTATCCCAGATGTTTGTAGATAGGAAAGAAGGGGCGATCAGCAAAATCTTCTGATTTATGGACTAAAGCTTCTTTCACAGCCTTGTAACCATTCAGCACCACCACATTTGTCCAGAAGTTCTGCAGGCTATAAATTTTCCCATATTTCTTACTTAGCTATAAAGACAAGAAATGGGGGAAATTTTAAGATTTCTTACCCATCCTACTCTGTCAAGTCCCAGGGCCAGTTACAGCATAATAAAAAAATTTATAAATAGATAAAAAGTTAGCATTGCAAAAGCAAGCCAAACCATGCCAGTGAAAACAGAGCAGTACACATTTGACAGAAGAGGTGCGACTGATAAAACAAAATACCTTAACTATCAAAGGTGAAAATAAAGGGATACATCTTCAGCATAGGGACAAAGCTTTGCAAATGATGCACCTCAGTGGGGCTGCCACAGAAAAAGCCCACTACTAGGCTGCCATTCCCGGCGCCTGTGGGTGGCAGAACTACCAAGAGAGACCCCTCTGCTGATCTTAACATTGCATGCTGCATTTTGGACCAGCTGACGTTTTCAAAATGTCTTCAAGGGCAACCCCATGCAAAGTGCAGTCCAGTAGACCAATCTAGAGGTGAACAGTTGTAGCATATATAATTAAGGACTAAACTGATAAAACCCAGTCTGCGAGAATGTATTCTGCCCAATGTTCCAGAATCCCTAGAGCAGAATCGCTTGCAGCGATATTGCTCAATTACATATGTAGAGAAGGAAAACTGCTATTGGAGCCAGATAAAAGGCCTAGCAAGGAAAACAGTGTTTACCCACAAATAAAGAAAAAAGTTACTGTTGATATTTTGGAGAGGATGGAATTTAAACCTTGGTACTCTGCTAAAATAAACACCAGCAACTGTTTCGTAACATCCAACAGAGCAAATTAATCCTGTATCACAAATAAAGCTATAATTCAATTAAGCTTCCAGTAACAGACCCATTCCATGGATGACCACAGGAAGCACAGAAGCATCTTGT